TTATCCTCACCACTTCTTTCTAGAAGAGGAGACAGGGGGTCAGAAAGATTCAGAGACTTGCCAGCAGTTGACAGCAGCTAGCCAGGGGGAAAACTCAGCACTTCCTGACTCTAGAAACTGCTCAACCCTTTTCCAGACTCTGTAGGGTGAGGGGGAGCAAAGGAATATTTTGGTAACTCAATTCATCGAAGGAAGAAGATTTTCAGATGTTTTGACATCTCCACTGAGGTTTGCCTGCTCCAGCTCCTGTACCCCTCCCGCCCTCTAACCAGGGGCCTGTTTTCCATCACCTGCTCTCCCTGGCCTCCAGGGCCTTGCAGCTCCAGGCAGTCCAGCTTTCCCTCTTTTTTAATGGTCTCTTTAACACAGGGCTTTTCTAATGAGACAGACTGGAGGGCCTTCATGTCCAGCTGAGCTTGTGTTTGCTTGCAGTGAGGGGCAGGGGGAGACCTGGGAATGCACAGGCTGAGAACCCCCACATTCTGGAGTTGGGGGTTTGAAGGGCTCAGGGGGAAAAAGCACCCCTGTTTAAACACACTCGTTCTCTTGTCCTGGCTCCCTGAGGCTTCTATGGTCCTAAAAATATTTATGAAGCTCCTTGGGATGGGTTGCAGGGGTACAGGGAACTGAGCACATATCTCAAGTCATCCAGACACATAATTTTGTTTTATGTAATAGAGTATAATTCCTAGTAGAGCTTGTATTTAGTCTGTTTTTCCATCACTGGGACAAACTACCAGGCACTTTCCTCATAAAGTTTACTTTGGCTCTCAGTTTCAGAGGATTCAGTCCATGGTTCCAAGGCACGAACATCGCGGTAGAAGGGCCTGGTAACTTCAAACTGCTCCCTGCCCTGTGCCCAGTAAGCAGACATCAGGAGAAGAGCACCAGAAAGATCTACACCCTCTAAAGGCACAGCTGCCATGACTGCTTCATTCAACTGGGCCCCACTTCACAACAGCGCATTCAGCTAGAATCAGTGGGTTGATCCACTGCTGAGCACAGAGCCCTCCGTGATCCAGTCATCTCGCCAGCATCCTCTTTATCCAGTCAGACTGACAATTAAGATTAACTGGCACAAGTCTACCCTTTGTCAACTTGACACCTGATCACATCTCATTAAACCATACTTACTCTCCAAATAAACACAGCAAGAAGTTAATAATTCCACCTAACATGGAGCAAAGATCATGCCTAAAGTAAAAATAAAGTATACTATATATATATATATATATATACACACACACACACACACACACACACACACATATATATATATTCCCTTCCCTAAAGTCTCAACAGTTACAGCACCGCCAAGTCTCCTCTGAGACTCAAGGAAAACTCCTAGCTATGGACCCTTATAAAATTCAAAACCTAAGTTACATATCTCTAATATGCAATGGTGCAGGGTAAGCATTCCCATTCTAAAAGGCAGGAATAAGGGGATAGAAAAGAGTCAGAACAAAGCAAGACCAAAATCCAGCAGGGCAAATCTTTAGTCCTCTAGCTCCATGACCAGTGTCCAGGGCACACAGTGGTGAGATGCAGGTTCTAGGGGTCTTGGGAAGCCCCAATCCCATGGCTCCCACTGCACCTCTGCCTTTGTCCCCACAACTTCATGCACCCAGCTCTCAGAAGCTCTTTGTCCAGCCTCCCGGACCTACCTCTGAGACGGGGTGGAAGCCTTCCTGACCACACTGCTCTCGTATTCTGCACACCCGTAAACCTCCATCATGCAGATGACAAAGAGCTCATGCAGTGGCCTGGACATGGCAGTGGGCTGTGAATGGCTGCATATGGTGAAATGAATCCCAGGGAACCACATCCTACACGGCCTTTCTTAAGCAGAAGGTCCAGAGACTGTCTTCCCAGTTAAAAGTTGTATACTTTTCACCCTTCGGCCTGCAATGAGTGAGGGTCTTGCTTGACTTTGGAGATGTCCTTGAAGTATCTTTTTACTTGTCCTGGCTCAGAGTCCTTTGCATCTTTTTAATGCCACCAGTCTCTTTAGCAACCACACTTCTTTCGGCCCCAGCTCTATCCATGGCTCTTTTCAGACCAAAATTTAAGTTTTTCAAATCTTTCTGCTTTTTTTTCATCCATTTCTTATTATAAATCTGACTAAAAGTAGCCATCGGTACCCACGCCACAACCTGAATGTTGAGCTGCCTTAGAATTTTTTCCTCCAGATTATTAGCCCATAACCATTAAACTCAGATAAGTCTTAGAACATGACCAAAATATAGTCATATTTTTTTGCCAGAATATAATAGTCCATGGCCTCAAGTCCAATTCCCAATAAAGTCCTCTTTCCAATCTGAAACCTCCTGAGCCTGTCCTTTATCATCTGCATTTCTGTCTGCATTTTGAGCTCCCTCCAGAATTGCCTATCAATATCTACCTAAAGCATCCTAGGGCATCTTTAATTCGCATCTCCAAACCTTTCCAAACTGCTCCTGCAAACTAGTTCTAACAGCTTCTGAACCACATGGTCGGGTATAGTCACAGCAAGGACTCCACTTCTCTGGTGCCAATTTTTTATTTGATTGGCTTTGCCATTGCTGGGATGAAGAAATTGATACCCATAACTTAGAGGAGAGGTTTATTTTGGCTCACAATTTCAGAGGTTTAGTCCACGGCTAGCTGGTTACAAGGCAAAAATATCATGGGAAAAAGGCATGGTGAAGCAAATCTCCTCACTTCAAGGCAGCTGGGAAACAGAACAAGCCAGTAAGGTATCAGCAAGAGAAAGACCTCCCAAACACGCATCCCTAGTGACCACCTCCATCTGGCCCCACCTCCTAACAGCACAGGCAGTCATGAACATCACTTCCCCCGTGATCCGATCACCTCTCCAGGAGTCTCTTTCTCCAGTCAAGTTAACGGTTAAGATTAACTGACACATAACCTGAGTTCTTCTAGGTGGCAGAAATTTAATTATAGTCCATGTGGTCCTCTGCCCTCTTTTTCCAAGGCTGTGTCTAAATTCTGAGGGATCAGAGCGTGTCAAACTGAAGAGATTGGCAGCCAAATGCTGCATAACAAATGAACCCAAAGCTTAGCATGTTGAAATGACAGCGAGAATTTACAATGTCACGTGGCCTCTTTGGGTTAGGGTTAGGGTTAGTGCTCTAGATCTCAGTGTCCCGTGAAGCCTCTCTCAGGTAGAAATATGGGGCTGTGGCCACATCTGAAGGTTTGCACAGGTCTGGCATCTCCACCTCCAGGGTGGCTACTCACACGCCTCGTACGGTGATGTTGGGTGTTGCCTGGAGCTCCTGTCTTTCCACCTGCTCCCCTTGTCGGATGTCCTCTGAGCGTGTCATGACACAGATTAGGGGTCCAGGACAGCCAGTGAGGTGGGAGCTGGAAAGCCCTTTCTGACAACCCTCCAACATTCCACATCGCCCCTTCTGCATAATACTAACCACAGGCAGCTCTGATGTGGTGATGGAGGGACTGTGTGGGGGTCTGAATCCCAGGAGAGGGACCCACTGGAGACGTCTTGAAGGCTGGCCACCCATGAGTGTCGGGAATCTTGTTCTCAGCTGTTGTTTAATCCCACTGGCTTCTTTGAGATGTTCTTGCCTGGGTCTGGCGAGCATGCTCATTCTCTCACCTAATGCCTCTTCCCTGTTTAAGGGTACGCCAGAACCTATTCCCCAGCACAGAGAGAATTTTCTGGTCATAGAGACAAGGATGTTTCGCTTTCGCCTTCCAAATCTTTCATCATCCACCCAGGCCTTGGCTGGCTTTTAAAGCACAAAAGCCAAGAACTTGACTCTTCTTATCTGCTTTGTGCTGTGTCATTCTTTCCCCGGGGGCGATCAATGCCTGCCGGGCTGCCTGGCTGCTGCCTGATGGAGGAGACTGGTAGCAGGCCATAAATAAGTGCATGGAACTTTTTCTCCAAAAAAAGTCTTTAACAGTTCAGAGTATTTTCCTGCATGCTGTAAAACATGATGTTAATATAAGTTGTCTTAATCATGTCTGTTTAATTTCAGTACTTTGGATCCACTAACAAACCTGATCTAAAACATCTCCATTTCATAGAGAAAGAAACAGAGATGTGAGGTGACTTGCAAAGCCCACAGGTGGTGGCCCAGCATGTGGGGGGCCTGCGTGCTGCTCAACCCCAGGTTTTCTAACCCAAACCAATGTTCTTGTCACTCCTGCATTACTTTCTTGCACTCAGCCTTTGTCCTCCCTGTAAAAAGATGTTCCTCTAACTACGATGGATTAAGAGATACTGTAACAGGGCTGTTCCTCTGCACAGATTCTCCCTCTCTTTCTCTGGAATTCTCAGTTCTAAAGAAAAGCTGCACCGAAATGATTAAAATGTTAACTGCTAAGTGATCTTTCCTTAAATTTACATAACCCAGAACATCTGGTGACCTTCAGCTCATATGGGAATGTGTAAAATGATGCTTAACTTGCCACCAGGTAACTAAAGAAGCACAGAATCCAGCACCAGGAGGCCCAGGTAGACTGTGATCTTTCCGCCAAGCACACTCTGCACGATGAGGGCCCTGCTCAGTGGCTTTTCTGCTGTGACCCTCCCTTTCTTCCTGCAAAGCCTTTTTGTGTACCTGAGTTCCCCAAGCAATCATTTAGCGGGGGAATAAATAGCTTCCCCCACCTCCTCAGGCTGTAAGCCTTTGAATAAATCTGATTTCCTGCCCAAATCTCATGTCCTGACTATTGTCTTTCAGGTGGTGAGCGGACGGACCGAGCTCCAGTTATAACACAGCTCTCTTAAACTAAGGGGCAAGGGGTTGAGAGATGGCAGCAGAGGACCCAAGGAGACACAGAACTCAACGCCCCTGACATTATACACCAGGGTGCCTCTTGCTTCACCCACAAGGTGAGTTTGACTTTCTGAGTAGGGTGGGTCAGACATGAGGGGCCAGAGCAGCAGATGGACGTACAGCCAGAGCAGCAGGAGACCCCCCCAAAAAAACAGAGGGCCCCACTGCAGCTTCTCCAGAGGAATTGTCAGCATTTTAATTTGATACAGGTTCTAGAAGGTGAACAAGCTGGACCTCCTAACACAGAACACAAGAGAAAGGGAAGAAAATCAAAAGATGCCTCCTATATTTTGGGCCTAAATGAAAAATAAATCATCAGGAACTGTGGGTCACCTCTTCCAAGTGTCACGGCCACACGGGGGGAGTCCGGAGTTAGCTGGCTGTGTTTCTGTTCATGGACCCGGGCCTGGTGGGCAGAAAGGCAGTGGTTTATGCGTTGATGCCCCCCAGGGGAAGCAGTTTCCCTTCCAACTCTCCTGGGATCTGAGAGGGAAGGGCGCAAGTTCCAGAGACTTCAAACCTGAAGTTCAACCCCGAATCTCGGGGTGGCTTTAGGCAAGTTATGCAGTTTTTCTAAGCTTCAGTGTCCTCGTCAGTTAGGATCTCGGTAATGACGTGAGGTGGTTGATGTCATCGTTTTGCGGTGCCTCCAGGAAGCGAGGTGTGGCTATGGCACCACACACGGCTGGCACTACGAGTTCACCAGATGCTGTTTTGTATCAGTTGCTCCTGAAGACACAGAAAACTTCCCTTCTCGCCCCCGTTCCAGGTAGGTGGGGCCACAGGCCTGGTTCTGTGAGTGGAAGGGATAAATATCACTCTCCACCCGGGGCAGGGAGGGCACTAGTCTTGTGCGATGCTCCAGTGTTTCTCATCCCCGACACAGCCTGCAGGCAGCGGAGGGGTCATGTTGTAACTGGAAAGGGTGGGAGAAGGAGCCTGGATATCCAAGTCCCTGCATGGCTCAGAGCTATGCAGGGGACTTCGTGTGAGTAAAAGGTAAACCTTCTTGACCAGGTTTGGGGTTTCCTGTGACGGCATCTCAGCCGATGCTTATCGGTTCCTGACCACAGAGCCGTAGTACTGTAGCAGCACTGACTTTGGACACAGCCGGTATTTGAGAAGACCGTGTCGTCACCCATCATCCCCCCACCTTGCTGCTCCCTCCCAGGACGGGCCCCCAACTCACCAGGGAAGCTTGGACTCGTTAATCCAAAAATAAGGGGAAAACAATCTCTCTTGAAATAACTGAGTCACAGTCCATGTCCCGGGATCATCAGACCACAGAATCAAAGAAAAGCAAAATGAAAAGGCCATAGATGTTGAGGATACAGTGCTAAAGAATCAAAGAATGCTATAAACCAGAGAATCGTAGGAAAGCCGCAGAGCTGCATATCCCAGCTGAGGCTAGGCAGGACTGTGTACCCTCAGGCTCTATCTGCATGACTTGCCCTGCACGAAGGCTTGCTTGGGACCCTTGAAAGAGGGAAGGTGAGGCAAGACGGGCTGTGATCCTTTGGTTCGTACAACCCTGCCAGGAAATCTGTGTGTCTCTTTGTGGAGCTACACTTGTTTCCTCACAAATAGTCTCTCTCTGACCGAATTGAAGTCAGGGATTTCTGAGTCCTGTTCTCAACAAGGCCTTGACCTCCAACCCTGTCCTCACGGGGCCTTTGAAGCCCAGTGGTAGCCAGTCTTGCTGTGTCCGTTTGGAGAAAGTCCCCTCCCTGGATATCCAAAACTCCTTCCTACCTGGTCAGACTCCACCTCCCTCTGCCCTGCTCTGGCTGGTCTGAGTCCCTCCTGACCCACCTTCAGAAGAATCCTAAGTCAGTCTAGCAAGAACACTTTCTTCCTGTGTTCGCTGTCTCGCCTGACACCTTTGACCTATCCCTCGGCCACAAATCCACACTTGTTCTCTTTGTCCCCCTAGTTGAGCCCCATACCTATGTTAGCCTTCTGGTCGCTAAGACGTGATACCCAACTCCCACAGTTTGAGGAAGGAGAGGTTTAATTTACTTGTGCGTTCAGTCCGTGGTTGCTGGGTCCAAGGCCGAGATGTCCTGGCAGGGGGACTGGGGGAGCAGAGCTGTCTGGCTCATGGTGCTGGGAAAATAGAGCAGGGAGCAGTCACAGACCCAAAGGCCCCAGCTCTGTGACCATCCGGACACCGACAAGTGGGCCCCACCACCCTCTGGGTGAGTCCCAGAGCTAATCGAGGGGAGACCCCACCCTCAGCAACCACACCCCACCTCTCTCCCCTTTGGCGATATTCCTGAGTGCAGGCTGCCTAACCATCTCACAAGCGCCAGAATAACTTTTTCTTTCACATTTTTCATCCAGTGCCTCGTGATAACGGTGAGAGTCGATTTGTGGGTGTGGAAAGAATATCTCCAAATAAAACCCCATAAACCAAAGAAGCAGAGCATGTCAGGTGGAAGCAGGAAGCAAACTTGAACCCTTCTGGCCCTTCAGGATTGCCCCTCCTTACGTTCCTTGGGAACCCCAAGCGTAGCTAGAAAACTCTTAGCGACCACTGCACAGTGAGATGGGTGTTTGCATCTCAGAACCACTGCTGCCCTCCTCGTGTGCGTCCCTATACCACGGAGGAGAAGCCTTGGAGCTCCCTTCCTAGCTCCCTCCCTAGCTCCCTTGCCAGCAGAGCTCTGGTCCACACTGTCCCAGTGTGAAGTACCCGTGTGAGGTTTGCGGAACAAGGGAAAAGAAGAAGGCACTGCTGTTCCACCAGCTCAGACAGATGCTCGGCTTCAGCAGAGAGCACAGGGCCTTGTTTTCAAGCAGCCCCCAGCTCACTCTGGCTGATCGCCCATCCTGGTCCCACAGGCAGCTGAGAACATCATCAGCAGGGCCGTGTCATCTCCGCACACCCAGCCATCCTGAAAGACGCAGCTATTTTCTGACCTTCCAACAATTTGTCAAGCATCGCATCTCCTGTGCTAAATCTCTGCCTGCACGACACACTGGGAGAGGTTGAGAAACTCCAGACGCACCCTGCCGATGATTGAGTCAGGAAGCCTGGCTCCTGATCCCATCCGTGTGTGCTACTGATGACAACAACCACCGGCACAGCTCGCATTTTCCCCCTGCGTGTAGCAGGCACGGTGGTGTGGAGCAATTTACCCAGCCTACCCCACGGAGGGAGCCACCCTTGGAGAAGGTTGTTGGGAGGGAAATTCCACGCCTCTTCGCACTCTTCTGTCCCTATGGTAACCATTCTTCAGCTCTCCGCCAGAGGAAGAAAATTCAGCGCCCTCTTCGGTGACTGCATAAGATGTGTATTGTGCCCGGAAGTGGTTGCAGGTGGGGTTACGTGTCACAGAGTCAGCAGCCACCTGCGTGGCTCTCTCTAAGCAGAATCATATCCCTGGGAATTCCCGGGCACCCCTTCTTCGAGTGTCTGCAGAGGCTGGTAGAGTACATGCATTCACCATGCCTGATAGGACCCACCCAGCTCCCTCTTGCCATAGACGGTCCTGAGCATTCAGGAGCCAGAATGGCTTCCTTGAACCTGGGCTGAAGAATACATACTCCTCTTCCTCATTTGATTATTCCTTACTGTGCCTCAACTCTGCACAAAAACCCACAGGGATGGGGAGATAAAGGACCAATCAGGAATCTAGCATCTCCCATCATAATGCTTTGCTGTTACTAACAAGGCTTACCCCTGGTTGCTATTAGAAGGCATTAAGGCTCAGAGAAGGAAAGTAACTAGCCTTGTGTCGCACAGCTAATAAGCGGGAAGAACTCAATTCAGCTCGGCCTACCCCGATTCTGGGCCTGCCTGTGTCATCACTGTGCTACGTTTCCTTTCTGGGTGAGAGAGGGTGGTGTGGGGCCTTGGAGAGCTCATCAGACCCTTTTGGGTTGCAATTTTCACCTCTATCAAACGAGAGGACCCTTTTCAAGGTTACTTTGGGTCTGAAATCCCAAGACTTTGCAACGAGTTCTCGGTAGAATGCCGCTGCCTCTCTCTAGCCTCTTCCATCAGAATAGGGGCTGGCATACAGCAGGCGTTTAATAAATGCTTCACTCATAAATATTTCACTCTGGCCTGACCATCACACTTATCCTTGGTGAGCATGAGATGCATTTGCTGCTATGACTTTCGAAATAACTGGGAGGAAGGAGGGAAGGAGGGAGGTTCACAGTGCTGTGTTTTTAGTTAAAATACTAGGAGGGGAGGGAGAGAGAGACAGAGATAGGCTCTTTTACTCACCCTCTTTAAACAATCCTCAATTCCTGCCAAAGCAAGACCCGCAGCCTTCTTCACCTATAACTACCCCTGTCTGACCTGTATGTGAAATGGGCACACAGCACCTTAACCTCTTTATTTTGCCAAAGACCTTAGGCCATGACCTTCAGCGATGACCTTGCCGCTTCCAGGCTGCGAGCCTTAGAAAGGCAGGGCACTCCTCCTCTCTGCGCTGCCCGTCCTGCAGGGCGGGCCTCATGGCCGGGTTCCTGTCATCTGCCTCACCCCGCACTGAGGACATGATGGAGGCCAACTTCCAAAGCACCTGCACGCCCGGCCCGTTCCCTCCTCCTATCAGCCCTCTCGGGCTCCGTCATCAGCTGCAGTTGGACGGGAAGGAGAAGGATGCCTGCAACTCTCTGCTCCGCCCCATCCCCTCCGCAGCTCGGCAGCCCTGCCCTGCTCTGAACCCGAGCTCTCCTGTAAGGCGGCCCGGTCGCCTCTCCTCTGCAGAATGGCCGCAGCGGCTGCTGAAGGATTGTCCATGCTGCTGCTCACTCTCCTCGCTTTCCCTGGGGGACCTGCACCCGGCCCGAGGCCACCTGGGGCATGACCTGGGGGCCCCTCTGCCTGCAGGAGAACACACCACCTTTTGTTCTTGCCCGCATCCCTGGGAAATACTTCCAGGGCAATTACTTCGGCTTGAAGCAAAAGTTAACGTTACTGACAGGCTGCTCACCACCGTGCCTATTTGTAATATTGATGAATCAGGAGCCGAGCCTGGCCCAGGCTGTGGGTACAAAGTGCCCAGAATATTCATGAGCCTTGCTGCCATTCCTTGATGGCATCGCTCCCCCGTACGGTGCCATTATTCCACCGCACGTCACTCGGCCCAACGTGAGGCTGGCACTGCCTCCTGCCCGGAACCAGGCCACAGTGAAAGGACCCATGAGCCCCTCCGCAGCACACAGTGGGAAGCCGCCTGCATTCACCTTAGAGCTCATCCATCTGGGAAAAGCCATGGAACAAAGCAACAGTTGGCGGCCTCCTGCCTCTCCCCCCGAGCCAAGACCTGGCCTGGACCTGTGAGGAATCAGGACGTGTTCCCTAGTAAATATCCTCAGCCCAGAGAGAGATCGCCTGCCCGTCTCCATGCCCTTACCAAAGCCAGGCTGTGAGGGGATCCAAGTTGCCCTGTGCTTTTCTGGTTAAACATTTATCCTGTGGCTTTTGTAGATAAATAGGTACGTATATGTGTCCGCATCATTGGGGTTAAATATTAAGAAGATCTACAGGCAGGGCCCTGGTCAAGCAGAATGAAATGAAACCCAGGGCAGGAATGTCAGCTCCGATAGGGCCGGAGGGAAGCGATGACGGACTTCAAGGCTGACCCATGGCCAAGGGGCCGAGGCCACGGCAGTGGGAAGCAGTCGCGTGCCCTCCTCCCGTCCTAAGGAAGCTGCAGACTCGGTGGCTTTTCACCCCTCGCCTCGCTCCACCTCCTTTCCTCTCTTCTCCCCCTTCTCTCTCCTCCCTCCGAGGCAGCGTGGCCTGGACAGCCTTCCCAACCTGTCCTCCCTGGGTCGCTTCCAGACACGACTGTAGTTTGGAATTGCATTTGATTAGCTTTTATGAGGTGGCTTCCTCGACGTGGCGCAAGGCGCAGAATATGTCAGAGGCCTGGCAGAGACTTGAATGGAAACGATTCTAATTACGGGTGATAATTTTTGCATTCCAACATAAAACAATGTTACAAAAAATCCCATTACAATGGTTAAAAGACAAATCATTTAGCAAGAGTCTCTCTTTATTACTTTATTAGACAATTCACAAGGCAACATTTTGAACGCGGGGACCGTGTGAAGCCCCAAGGCTATCCAAATGCAAGTTGCACTAGGAAAACCGAGTTCATCTCTTGTCATTAGTCAGAGAGTCAAATGCAATCAGGAGGGCTCCAACTGGCTTGTCAAATTAGCCAGCTCTTCCCATCACTGGCGTGGCAGAGCGCTGCAGGCCGGCTGAGGGCCCAGCTCTGAGAAACGGCACGGAGCTACCGCCCCAAAGGGTCCGATCGCCTCCCCCGAGCAGCATCCGAGCCCCCGGGGTCCCTCCCCAACAGCGCATGCGCATGCCCGCCTGCCCTTCCCATGGGGGAAGCGGGTCTCGTGGCTTGTTCTGGCCAGTGACGTGAGGACAGAAGTGATTCGCGTCCGTCCCCGGGTGGGATCTTTAAGGACGGTGCTTCCTCCTCCGAGTCTCTTTTCTCCTCTCCCAGACCAGCAGTGTCCCAGAGGCCGCCCTGCTGACCTGAGTCACAGGTAAAAAACTAGAGCAGCAAGCGGCAGCTTTGAGGTCCACAGATTCAACCAACTGTACTGACCTTTTTCATCACTGTTCGTTACATAATGCAGTGTAACCACTGTTCGTGTGCATGTGAACCTGTTAAGGGGACAGGTCACCTGGAGATGACTTCAGACAAGCGGGAGGATGTGTGTTAATGCTATGCAAACGCGACCCCATTGTATAGGAGGAATTTGAATGTCTGTGGATTTTAGTATCCTTGGGGGTCCTGGAACTGAGCCCTCAAATCAACCCCCAAGGGACGACTTACAAAACAGATGTGTGACTAATAGACAACCAATACAAGCGCAAACTCAACTTTTGCTTTTCATAGGGTGGCTGGCCATCCCGATTTGTGAAGGTCTGAGTGGCTTCCTAGGACGTGTGACTTTCAACTCTAAAATCGGGACAGTTTCAAGCAAGACAGCTGCAAGCAAGGAAGCCACAGATGATTTTGGAGAAGTCTGCTACCTCAGCGTAACCTGGGTGAAGCTGACTGATACACTCTCACTCTAGAAAGGAGGAGACCAAAGACCAGAGAGGCGGGAGGCTTGGTCAGTGCAGAGCAGTGTAAAGACAGGAGGGACGTTTTGCAGCCCAGCGAGTCCGCGAGGTCTCCTGGATCTGCCCAACGTCAAGGCAGATCGGCTCCTGCCTCGCAGAGCAAGAGACCCCATCCTGGGGCGGAGCTTGGTGCCCAGCGTGCTTAGCAGGAAGTGAGCGCTCTTGGAGCAACCCTTCCAGAAGAGAAGAGAGAGGAGCAGAATTGGGAGAGGCAGAAGCTGGGCTGTGATGAAGACCTAACGGGGTGGGGCAGGTGGAGCTACTGCGGGCCAGAGCAGGGGTCCGACGGTGTCTGCTGTTTCCCCGCGCCCGGTGTGGGCAGCCCTCCGAAGTGAGGCAGGGCTCCTGGGCTGGGCCGCCCCGAAGAGGGCCGGGCTCTCAGCAGTTGTGGAGGTGAACCCTTCCTTCCGTGGGGGACCCAGCGGCGCCTCACGGTGCCCCAAATGGAAAGTTACCTAAACACTCGGAAGCTCTACCTGCATCTGTGAAATGGGGCCAACGCTGTACGGATCGCTGGTCCTGTGTCGCTGTTGATACCATGTCCGGGCCGGGCTAGGAGCATGGCGTGCACTGCAGCGTGTGGGGAAGGGTGAGCGGAAACGCGCGACGTGCTTGGAATTATAACGGGCGCACCACGAGTTGACCGTTGTAGCAATTACTGTTAACACTGGATCCCTTGCACTTTCTGCGGCCCGCTCCTTGCTGGCTGGTCTGTACCTCCTCTTCCCCTATCTGTCATAGTCAGAGGGAGCTCTCACGCAATGCAAATACTACTCAGTCGCGCCTCTGCTCTCGATCCTTTGATAGCTCCCTCTTACCTGCTCAGTAAAGCCTGCACTTCTTCCCGTGACTTCCAAGCCTTCTCATAATCTCCCTCCTCCAAAGTCCACACCTCCAGGCTCGTGGCCCAGGTAGATTTATCTATTCAACTGCTTTCCTTTCCTTCATACTTTGGCTCAAGACGTCCACCCACCTGGACGCCTTCCCCACTGGTGAACCCCAGCTCCTCGCTCAAGACCCAGATTGGGCGGCCGGTCGCACACAGCCCCTGGGCTTGCTCGAACGACACGGCCAG